CAAATTTGTCGGCTCGTGATGACCCTGTCTGTTTGCTCGGTAAACTGAAGGAGGCTCTTAAGGGGAAAAACAAACCAAAGATGAAACCCTAATAAAGATACAGTGGTGTCAAGAGCCGGTACGTAAATATCCGTGGAGTTATTAGCTGGAAAGATCTCCCTGCCTGATTGAAGGTGGTTGGCAGCATTGATGCTTGTGGGGCCCAGGCGTGGATGGGAGCAGTTACGTGTAGCCAGGAGGAGCTGATGGCAGTCTCCGAATTTGAAATGCAGCTGGATTTATTTATATGCTGTGATAAACATGAGGTGGCAATGCAGATGCCAGAGACAAAATCTCATTTTATATTCCTCGTATAGGAAACAACATGCGGTCTTCTATGGTAAGAATAATTAAGCAGAATCCAAATTACCCATACAAACAAAAGGGGGTTTTGGCAGCCACTATAACCTGAAAGTTATGTTTTGTGTTATCAGTGCGTTGTGCCAGTGGCCAGTGACACCTTCCAGGGACCGGGCACCACACTGCAGGCGTATGGAGCAAAACTGCCAGTGCCACAGCACTTGTCCGACGTCCTGGCTGCTGCCAAGGCCTGCCATGCTGGGGCCCAGGTTAGGAGCTGTCTCTGAAAAACTCTCTGTGAGCACACTCTGCCATTAATTTAGGAAGAGCTTGGGGAAGGTTGGCTCTGCCACCCTTCGTGTTTTTCCTGCAGGTGCTGTAGAAGGCAGTCTGGCACATGACGGTCACGTGCAATCAGGTTTTTTGTGAGTGTTGTTAATTCCAAGAGCAGAACAGATTCCAGCAGCCTTAAACCGCCAGCACTAAGTGTAACGGCTGGGTCATTCTGCAGCTCTTGCCAGAAACCCAGTTGCCCATTTGGAAGGAAGAGTAGAGATGTGTCATTTTATGAAGGGTTGCAATGAGAGTGATTTTACCTGCAGGTGAGAAACGAGGAATGCTTTGTTAGTGTCCTTTGCTGCTTCTGCATTTATCATCACTGGTTTGATGTATTTTAGTCTCTGTTTGAGGAGCTGCTGGCTACAAATAACTGGTAGTGTCTTGCTCTTCTGTGATATCCCTTAATTATTCGTGTACTTCCGTTCCTTCCGTGGGTGTGGTTGGGTGCAGGCTGTGGGTGTTGGCATGGCATGTGTATGCCGTGTGCCAAGAGGCCTCTTGTGCTTTGGGTAAGAGGAAAAAGTGGTCGTGTATAATGTGTCGTGAGCTTGTAGTCATTCTAAGTCAATAACATGGAATTATTAGTCTTGTTTTCTTTTCAGCTGTCAAAGACAGTTCCCGGGTTTCCTGTCTGTCACTTTGACAAGCTTACATTTCCTCTGAGTAAGGAAAATACCTTTGGTCAGCTTCAGTGACGTGGTATCCAGTCCCAGCTGTATTTGCTGCCCCTCTGCAGTGAGGCTGAGCTCAGCCCACTGCCAGCCCTCCAGCTGTGTCGAAGCCTGCAGGCTCCCTGCTGCAGCTGCATGCCTGAGCACACCTGCAGCTGGGCGCAACACCCATGGACAGGATTAAGCCCCGTTAGATTGATGTTCCAGTGGAGCAGAAGGTGTAACTGCAGTAATATCAAATTTCAAAGTCAGAGTTGGATGCCGTCCTCGTGCAGTCTGAGGGCATTAAAATGCCTGGCAGTGCCATGCCAGTGCTGTTAGCTGTGGTTAATTGACCTGGTCTCCCAGTTTTGCTGCTCTGGACTTTCTAGGTAAGTACTTGCTAGCAGCACGACTGTCCTTCTAATGCTGGGGTGACTCCTGCTTAAAAACAAAGCCTTTTTAGCGTAAAGATGTTAAATTTTCCTTGCAATAACTGTTGTCTCTTTGAGCTAGTGAGATAAAAGGTGGATACGCCAAGTATCCCAAACAACTGCTCCCTAAGTTCTTAAGACCTGACAGCACATCAGTAGCCTTGCTGCAGTTGTGAAGTTACCTGGTTTGGGGTTTCTCTTAATTTGAAATGTGGACAGTGGGCATGTTCAGTATTAAAAAGATGCTGCTTGTGAGCAGTCATGATAAAACTTCACAGCACAGTCGTGTTTGTACACCCCTAACTGGGCCATGACTGGCAGTGCATTGGAGCAAGTCCATGCCATAACAAAGCTGCCAGGACTCCTGGGCAAGCTGGGCCCAGGAGCATCATATGGTAGCTTCAAATGCACACGTGTGCTTTCCAGATACCCTTATCGCTCCAAAGCAGGGTGCCACGTTCCAGCTGCTAGGATTGGTGGGGCTTTTTTGGTTTGTTTTCTTTAAATGTAGTAGCTGAAGCACGATTCTGCACTGATGGGTGGAGTGGGTGGGAAGTTTCACTTCTCTGGTCTACCAGGAGCCTGAAGGCAGTTCCTTGTGTGGTTTGGGCAGAGATTTCTCATAGTTAGTGGACAGTCAAAAGATTTCAGAAGAGAGAGGTGAGATACTGGGAGTTACTTTCTATTCTGCTTTTATTGAGTTAGTGTCAAGCTTGATAACCACTCTTTGGGAAATTTTAAACCTTGCACCCCGTTCTAGGTACTGAACAGAAGTAATTTGGAGGAGGTGAAGGGTGGGGGCAGGTGAAATGTCTCTGTGGGAAAGGGGAGGAAGCAGGCTGCTTCATGGGTGCTTCTTAAAAATGGAGCATCCCATAGGATGGGAGAAGCGTCTCGCAGATGCCTGAGCTTTCCAGACCTGTCCTTGGCAGGCACAGTTTAGCAGTACCCAGGAAGGCCAAGAGCATCGTCTCGTTCTCTTCTGCCTTTTGGCGTAGATGGGAAGAAAACATAGCCGTCCTGGAAATCTCAGAGAGGCTTGTGCCCCGTAATAGAATCTACGGTGCACCAGCACACAGGTTTCAGGTGGCAGCAAAAAGCCTTTGGAAGACTGGTGATGGTTTAATGAGTGTGTGTAAAGGAAAAGTACCGTACGGACGTGGAGTACGGAAAATGAGCTTGACTTAAAAGCCATCTTCAGTTGGCTGCAGTCAACTTCATTGTTGTAATTGCTGCTAATATTCTTCTGTGTGCTGCCTGTGCAGGGATTGGTAACGACAAGGCAGCAACAGAGCAAGAAGCAGGGGAGGGGATGACACTTGAGCCAGCTTTTATTTCATTTTATATACTCGTTGTGCCAGATCCTTGTCGTGCTTTTAGCACTTGCTGTGGTTTGTCGGTTGAATGTCACAGCGCTGTTTGAAGTTTAATCGCTCTGCCAGCTGTAAGACCCTGGTTTAATGCATGTTTTTTTGGAAGTTCGAAGAAAGTGTAGGGTTGTTGGTGACACTGAGAGTCACTACAAATCATGTAGCTGAGGCAGAAGGCGGAGGAGGAAGCTGCGCCGTGGCGCTTCATTCCCCAAAAAGTGAACAGACACAACTTCACAGCCTCCTGGTCCTCGTCTCAGCCTTTTGTGCATGCCAGTGAGTTGAGTTGAAGAGGAGAAGTTTGATCTCAGCCGTGAATCAGATAACATGGAACTTCTTGCAACAAACGGGAATTGCACAGCAAGTATGTCAGGGCAGCATGTTTCTGACAGTACACTGAGAAGCTGCCTGAGAGCGAGCTGTGGAAGAGCTGTTAGGAACACGTGGGAGCAATATGGTGTTTGTATGAAAAGTAGGAACGTAACTGAAATCCTGTTGTGCCTGTAGAATTGCAGCTCTGTGCACGCAGTATTAATAGCTGAGTGTTCTTGTTTAAATAGGAGTGAGACTGGCACTGGAGAAGTTACTGGTGCACGATGGTCACGCTGGGAGGTTTTCCTGAGCCCCTCCCTGTAAGTGCCATTAGATACAGCAAAAGGACATGGTACAGAAAGGGCAAGGGCTGTGAGTACGTGTAGTGCATTGTGCCATAGTTTTCTGGCTCTTTTCCTTCATTCCTTTGTTTATCTTCTCTAAATCGCGGGGCACGAAGGACTGATGGTTATATATTTTCTGGTAGCCAAAATATCATAAAACCTCTGTGTTTTGCTTTAAAGGGGGCATGTGCTGGGGCGGTGGCAGGGGTGGCAGTGTTTTGGTTTTGTTTTCTGTGCTGCTTGGTTATAAAGTGCTGTGCTGACATTTTGACACTTATTTCAGACTTGGTCATAGACATTCTCTTTCTAAATCTGATAAGGGCACAGTAACCCATGAAACCAGCCTGTGCCTGTGTCTTAATTTAGAGACTGTAGATGAGCAGCTATAGAGAAAACTGCGCTTTCAAATTGGAAACAGTGCCTAAAACAACAGCAAGTCTGGGTTTGTGTGTTTGCAGAGGTTTGAGTTGACAGAAGGAGATGTATTTTATTTGTATTGATATTTGAGTGTACTTTCAGGGTAAAAACATATTGGTTTTGGATGTTGTTTCTCCTCACTCCACGTGAAGTGAAGATAGAAGTCCTTCCCTAAAACTTCATGGCTCTTTGGCAGAGATGCTGTTCCTGATGTTCCAGTTCTGTTTCAGTCTGGGCAGTTTCTGCTGAGCAAGTTGCTGAAGTCTCCCGTTAGACAAAAGGCACCAATAAACCCTTGGACAATTGGGTGAAGTTAGGGCCAAATCACTCCAGCTCGGTCAGCTCTGGGCTCTGCCTGGCTGTGCGAGCTTCTCTGCATCCCATCCCATCCCACCCCACGCTGTGCTGCAGTCCTCAAGTGCTAAGCAGCAGGCAAAGGCCAGCCCTGTGCTGTGTGCCAGTGCTGTACTTCATTTGAAGCCAAATTTATGTCCTTTTACTGTTCTACATCAGAGGGAACCTCTCTCTATGAATTACGCGTTTACATCAAAAAAATTATAAACCACATTAGTTTTAAACTCCATAATCTGACTTAATAAATGATAAAAAAATTATCTTCAGTGATTTAATAACTTTAGGACTGTATTTGATTAAATACCCATCAGTGCTTGACATCTAAAAAATTCCCTTTGGAAAGAGAGAGACAGCAGGAGTGACCAGCCAGGAGATCAGATGTGTGTGATTTTAAGTGGATGGATCTTTGAAAGCACGTGGCTATGTGGTGTTTTCCTAATAGGTAGTTCAGCTTTCTAAAATTACATGATGGTGGTAATTGTATTTTAGCTATTTAAGCACTGTCAGGAAAGTGAAATTTAGAGAATTTAAAAATGGCTTGCTAATTAACCGCTGTGGTTTGTTCTTTGTGTTATTTTGTCTCTAGATCAGTCGTATTGTCATCGGCTGCAACACGACGCGTGTTTTCTGACAAGCAATAGCCGGCTAAATGAGCAAGTGGTTGATAAAATTATTCTTCAGCTTAACAGAGTCTACCCCCAAATCCTTACCGATGCAGAAGCAGAAAAGGTAATTTGGTGAATTTTACTGTGTCTCTGAATGTGGCATTGTTTTTGTGCGTCAGTAGCTCAGCTGCCCCCTTCCCAGCCTGACTCTTGCTGCCACGTGCAGCTGGTCTTCCTCACCTCTTACTTCGCTGCCCAGTTGTGTCTGGGATCTCGTATCAGAGAGGTCACAGGGCTGGCAGGTTCCCTGTGCCAAGTGGTTGTGAGAGGGCACTCTTCAGCCCCAGCTCAACGCCGCGCTCCCTGCCGCCGTGCGTGCAGAAGCGTGCATTGCTGGAACTGCACCCATCCCGTGACCCAGTGCCCGGCGTGCCAGCCTCCTCGCGGGGGTCGGAGTGGAGTGTCATGTCAGGTGATCTGTGCTGCACACAGAGGTGTCCACAAAATCGTCTGTATTGGCTTAATCAGTTTTACTTAGTGATTAACATGATTAATAACTCTGAGTATTGTCAGAGAAGGAGGGCATTGGGCCCAGCTATGAGTGTGGGAGCTGTGGGAAGTAGATGGCATTAGTAACATCCTCAGTAGTGCCGCTGTGTACAGAGGAAGGCTGCCCACCTGGCATGAAGCTTTCAAAAACAGCTAGCTGTTTTTAGGGAGAAAGATCTTTTAAACTTGTGCAGAGTGAAAGTTACAGTCAGTTAAAAGCTTCCCAGATCCTACTTACGACGGTTTGTACTTGCCCTCTGCTGGCTTCACTGGCTGCACAAGGCTCCCGAGTTTTGGCATGTCAGTATTTTAACTTTAGGAAAAATAGGTCTGATTGTGTCATAGCCAAACTCCATGGGGGCAAATAGTGTTTTGGTGGTGCAGGGCAGTGCTCCATCATCAGCTGAGCTGGTCTGGCCGCTCACTTGTGGCATGCACAGTTAAAGACCATCTCGTTCCCTCAGGAGCTTCAAAATAAATGCATAAAGAATCTGGGAAACATAATTTGTGACTTCTGCACTTACAAGACAGAAATGAACTGCTTTTTCTTAAGTCCAGGCAAGTTTCCATCAACTCCATTGAGCGTTTAGGAAGCCTACAGCCTCAGCTATATCCAGTAGACCTGGGGGGATGTTGTCAGAATAAGGAGTGTTGTATAAGGTACGTTGCATTCCTGTTCCCCTAGAGAGGGAATTGATCCTAAGTGTACTACAAATGTCACCTGCTGTGCTGTCTGAAGTGTAAGGGTTTGCTGAGAATGGCTTTGGATGTTTTCCAAATAAGCCGAAATCAGTTTCATGCGAGTAAGGCTAGGTACGGGTTTTCCTTCTCTTTGTAAGGTCTCCTCATGTTTTTTGGAGTACAGATAAAAGGTACCTTCTTCTGCAATTGCTTGCCACGTTGCCTGAATAATGAGAGTTTGTGTATGGTGCACTGGGTGCACAGCAGTTAATTGTGTGAGAAACAATGAAACATGTAATCTTGGGATGATGAGCACTGGGACATCGGGACGAATATAAGCAGTGTAAAGTACCTTTTGAGCTGATCATTACTGGGCAACTGAGGGAAAACTTGAAAACATGAAACTTTGTTGTAAGACTTGTTGATATTTGCTGTCAATGGCTGTCAGAATCAAATTGTGGAATAGCAAATACCGTGTGAGTTTAAATGCAGAGAAAACATCAAACACAGAGTAGCTATCACAATCAAGACAGAAAAAAGAATGACAGAAGGCAATAGGCTTTCCATCCAGCAGTGCTGACCAGATGGAGCTCAGTGTCTTGAAGACTGTTGTTCAATGCATGTCCATTTCGGGTTCCCCTCAGTTTTTTGGCCCATTCTTATAGAAAATACAAAACAAACTCCTTATCTTCACTCCCTGGCAGGAAAGTGATGTAAAATTGATCTCCAGCTGTTGTAGTCGCTCTTCTGATGAGTGCTTTTCTCTTACAGTTCAGGAATCCAAAGGCATCACTCCATACCAGGCTGTCAGATCTGATAAAGCACCTTCAAAAGAAAGGAGAGAGACACTGTCAGGAGTTTTACAGAGCTCTACAGATCAATGCTGAACAGCTGTATAATGACCTGCCAAGCAGGAAAATCTTGAGTAAGTTGATTGAGTTGTAGATTTCCTCATCACTGTGTTACAAAACCTTATTCAGATGAGGTCTAGGTCATTTAAATAAATTTTGGGGTATAAATTAATTCCTTCTGACTGGAATTTTCCAAAAGCCATAAGGGGATTTAACTGCATAGTTCTTGTTATTTGTTGACGAGTGTGGGCAGTCTACAACTCTTTGATTGTTTTGAAATATGAAATATGTCTTTAAAACATATTCATGTAAGACAGTGATAGAACTTATATGAAGTTCAGTTTCTCTTTTCGTAACCATTGCCTCTTAATGACTTGTTTATTCCCTCTGTGTCTATTCTGACTTGTAGCATGTAAGAACATTACAAACCTCCGATTTGTTAAGCTCAATACTCTGGTGTCCCAGAAGCTTGGCTTTCCCTCAAACCATAAATCTCCTAGCTGTGTCTAGTTTAATCTGAAGAGAACGTTCACAGGCCCTTGCAATGATGAACTGTGATATTAATCACTTGGGACCTGTTTTGTGCAGCTGGCAGGCCTGACTGATGTGCTTTACTGTCCGTAAAGCTGCCTCTCAAATAGACGTGTACGTGCTTCGGAAGGACTGAGGCTCCATCAGATTTGATTCTGGACTGCAAAGGAACTCAGTTCTTTAAGGAAATCATCAAGCCTGACTTGCAGACCTGGGATAACGCTTGCTGTGTGTTATCCCGCGTACTGAGATGACTTGAGGAGCTTGAGGGAAAGCTCCACGTTTACGTTAAGGAAACTGCAAAGATACAGCAGTCTAAGGAATGCCCAAGTATCTAACAGCACTAATGCTTCACAGGTTAATTGATTTCTAGTTGTAAGAAACTCCACATGTCAGTACCCAGGGAAATTTTAGACATGTGGGTCAAACTCCAGTGATATTCAAACCATTACATCCATAGGATTGAAAAAAACCCCACAAATAGACCTCTTTTATTTCTGAAGTGAAAATAGCATGCAAAATTGTAATTACCTTTGAAGATACTGCATTGTCTGGCTTCGTTTTGCCTTTCATTTTGAAGGAAAAGCCTGTATCTACCTGGCACGAATACGTACCAGTGGAAGACTGCACCATTTTCCTGCCTGCACAGGGAAGCTGCAAAGTTACCCCAGGTCTTCATATCCCATACCTGAATCCTCTTGGACTGGGAAAGTCTGTGCCCATCCCTGCCTCAGAATCTGGGATGAGCATGAATCCCTATTGATTCGGCCTCACAGCAGCTTTAGGGCAGTGCTTTCCATCTGATCTTCACCTTGCAGAAGTCATGCCCTTTCAGGGAACAGGCTCTTAAATCAGATAGTCTTGGATCAATCAGTTTTACTTGGGTTGAGCTCAAGAGCAACAGATTTTTCTGCCAGGCTGACCGGAAGGCAGCTATTGATAAAGAGCAACTTAAGAAGTCTTAGTGAATAAGAATACAATTTCAAGAGTGTATTGATGATTTAAGAGTTTAAGCTCTGTCAGTAACACTTACCTTCCACAAGCCATTTCTGAGAACGTGTCTTAACATGTGTGCACAGTGGCCAAGGCCTGGCTACGTCCCGCGTGGATGGTCTGAGCTCAGCTGGGTGCCAGAAATACGTAGAACTCCAGTTGGAAGTTGTGAAGATAAACTCTCATGCTGCCCTGTGTCTTGCCTGGACAAACCAGCTGAAAGGAAGCTTGCACAGGGTGTCTGCGTGATGTTTTCACTTTTAACTAGAGCACAGACATGCTCGTCCTTGCACTATATGTGGTTATTTCCGAGAGCTTTTACTCGGGGAGCCGTGTGAGCAGGCAGGGTTAGGGCTTCTCATGTTCAGACTGTGCCCAACAAGTACCAGAAGTGCTAAAAGTGCTTCACAGAAAGAACAGAGCTGTTTGTGGTGCCCTAAAACTGTTTTGTTGCTGTTGCATTATGCAAAGGGACTCCAGCAACCATCGTAAGTCATTAAATTCTCTAAATCTTGGTACACTTTCTTATGTTACCATCCTTAGAACGATGAGAATAATTTAAATAACTGAGTTAAAATACTGCTACATGGTGAGATTCTGCAGTTTCCTTATATTGACCAGAGAAGGGAATAATGAGATAATTGTGTTAATGTGTTTACTGCTTCTTATGAGTTCTGTAACTAAAACAAATGTCTGTGTTCTGGACCGAATGGTCCATAAACATCTGTGCAGCATCTTAAGCTAAAACCGCTATTTTCTTCTTCAGGAAAAGCTCCCTTTTCAATATGAGGGGTTATTTCTCATTTAAGTGAACTTGAACATTTTGAATGTTAAAGGCATTATTATCCTTTTGACCTCTAACACACACAATTCTTATTTACTCAAATGTTACTCACAGCAGTAGTTGTCAAATTGGTTGAATTTAGTGCAGAGCATTTACAGAATTGACACTAGAATTTGTAAATGTGAGGAGGAAGGGAATCCCTAACATGGGGACTTTGTTCTAAATGCAGATTGAACTGAAACAAGCAGCATTACAAACTGGAGAATCGTTGGTGAGGACACTGAGCTGTGGCCAGGGCAGAGTTCTGTAATAGATTACATGCAACTGGACATGCGTGAAATGTTTTCGACGGAGGAAATCCTTTCAGAGATTTAATTTTCATTTTTTAAACAACTTTAAAATCTGTGCTAGAAGAAAATTTCTTTGCCTTGAGTACAAATATCACAAGTGGAACGTTTGGCAATGTCTCCGAGTTCCCACCAGAGGGTGGGCAGGGCACATGGCACGGGCAGCCTCGCAGCTTCCAAGGGACTCGGAAAATGTTATTTCTCTTAATGCTGACATAGACTAGAAATATAAAGGGTCAGATCAGTCCCGCACAGCGAGAGCCTGACGAAAGTGCAGAGATTTGACTCTGCTCCACTGTGAAGCGTGAGGGTTTCCTAGCCAGTGTGCGCAGGGAGGACATCCCTCAAAACGGGCAGGCTGTGCAAGATTGCCGTGGGTGTCGCGCGTGCCGCGGAGGCTTTGCAGCAATGCCTCCTGCTTCAGTGACTCTGGAGCTTTGCAGTGAAGTGCTTCAGATGTTTCTGTTCTGCTTGACCATCATGCCCTGTCACCCACGGAGAGGCAGGTACCTGGCACGGATGCTCACCGTCTGATGTTGGCTGGCAGCAGGTCCCCTTTGCTGACGTGGTGTACAGGGCAGTTTTCCAAGGCACTCCACCTAGCTCCAGGTTGTCACCTAGAAGAAGGAAGTCAGTTGAAACCAGACAGTTTCAAATTCTTTCCTATTGACAGCCAAATTTGGAGCACTCACTTTTTTTTTTTTCCTCCTTTTTTTAAAGCCTCTTGACCACAAAGAGGTTTGGCTGAAAAAGTTGATTTGCAGATTCATGGTGCCTTAAAGGAAAGTCATTCCTCTGCCATTCGTGGTGACAGCAGTGTTCTTTGGTGTTGCCCACATATTCTGCAGACAATGTTCTCTCCACATGGATATGGCAAAGGCACCTGTAAAGGAGCTGCAAGTTTTCGTGCCCACAGAACCAACTGCTTTATTGCTGCCAACTGCTGAGCACCTTGTCTTGAGATCAACCTCCTTTTCTACTTGAATTTGCAGAAAAACGGAGGCAAAAACAATTTGTGCCAAGCATCAGCGCATGTTACTGACAGACTTTAAAAGAAGTGGTATGTGGCTCTAGCTGAAACCAGAATTTAGATAAATAATCCGTGCCAAGCAGTTCGCTCCAAGCGCCTTGGCTGCCAGATACGTAATGCCCAGAGATCTACTCAAGAACAGAAAGAATGGTGATGCACTAAATTGCAGGGGCGTTTTCAGATTAGCACGTATATTCACAAATATTTTGTATTTGTTACAATGAAATTTCTGGCATTATGGAAGGATTAGCACCTGCTTTCCATGCTCGGGAGCCGAGTGTGATGTTACGTGTGTGGTTAGTACTTAACCCAGCTCAGAGGTGTTGCTGCAGCTGTTCATAGTTGCATCCAAACGACAATGTGCCTGTGTCTTTTGATCAACATATATCCAGATTTAACTGTAGCAATGATTTACCTTTGGAAGGGTTATTATTTTATGTCAAAATTGGATATTTTTCTGAAATCTGTTATTGAGTACGGTTTCGCATGTGCTGATTATGTTCATTTGTTCGCTTGAGCTGAGCACTAACTTTTTATGTGTTGCTTTTGTTTCTAGAAACCACAGATTCCACAGAGGTAGACACTGACAAGGAGACATATATGCTAAATGACAGGGGTAAATAAATGCATACGGTGTCACCGGCTAGAACGGCTTTTCAGATTATGATGCAATTTATTTGATCATGTAATTTGCATTTCATGTAACAAATAGTTTGTTTTATGATGTCTTTACTGTCACAAGTTAAGTGGAATTAATGGAGGAAAACGTACTGAGCTGCTGTTGAGGAAACCAGTGCCAGGAAATTCGAGGGACTGTAGAGTTTAATCAATATTTACAGTGATATTATTACTTACGCTGTTGTAGCTAAACTTTTTATTTCCTATGATTTCTTCACTGCTTGAAGAGTAAGTTCTATTCAGCTGCTGCTGTTGTCATTTTGCATAAGGCCATCAATAATTTTTTTATTAAAACTTTCACATTTTTTCAGGTTTTTTTTTTTTAAGCATTCTATTTTAAGTACAAATCGTTTGAAAACAAAGACGGAAAGGAAGATGAGCAAGGATGAACTTAAATATATTTTCCTTAGGAAAACAAGTTAATTCTTACCCATTCCTCTGCCCAGATTAGAGGCAAATATTTTATTCACCAAAAGGTATTTTGAAAAGGAATTGAAGATCTGAAGAAACTGAGAGAAAGCTAAAGAATTTTCAAAATTCATAATGAACTGTTTTATCGTTTAATTGATATTTTTATTTAGAAGTTTGGATACAATTACGAGAGAATAAAAGCACCTTCTCTGAATTATGCCTTTTTGGCCATTTTCCCCTGAGAGAAAATTGAAACGAGGGACAGAAACACGATTTAACTCAATGTATATTTTTGCTTGTGTTGTCACTTTGAATATGAACCAAATTGCTGTTCAGATTTTTCACATCGCTCGTGCTGACTGCAGCATAACAGTACAGGAAGAACAGAGAAAGTGCTTGGAAATAAGAAAATTACATAATTTCTGTTCTTCCTTGTGCTGATGAAAGAGCTGGCCTCAGACTGGAGATGGTCTGCCTGCTGGCCACCCTTGTTGCAGCCTTCCAGTACTTAAAGGGGCCTACAGGAAAGCTGGAGAGGGACTTTTTACAAGGGCGTGTAGTGATAGGACAAGGGGTGATGGCTTTAAACTGGAAGAGGGGAGATTTTGGTTAGATATAAGGAAGAAATTTTTCAGTCAGAGGGTGGTGAGGCACTGGTACAGGTTGCCCAGAGAAGTTGTGGCTGCCCCATCCCTGGCAGTGTTCAAGGCCAGGTTGGATGAGGCTTTGGGCAACCTGGTGTAGTGGAGGGTGTCCCTGCCCATGGCAGGGGGGTTGGAACTGGATAATCTTTAAGGTCCCTTCCAACCCAAACCATTCTGTGATTCTGTGATTACATCCGAAGGAGCAACCGAGTCCTTGCTCCATTGCTGTTTCCCATGTCCTTGTCTGCATGGTCAGCTGCCCTAATTTGTTAGTACATTTGTCCTTAAATTGACAGGTGCAGTTTAACCGTAGCTATATCCCTAGTGAAGCAGTAAATACCAATAGAATCCAAGATAATGAAGAAGGAGATATAAATCTTTATGAGATTTTGCCTGCCGATAAGTATGAATTACAAAGGTTTTACCGAACATCAATACATCAGCGTTCAACTGCACCTAATTCCAGGCAGGCACGTGAAGGAAACGTTTCCACTGGGAGATATGTTTGGGGGGGGGGGGGTGTGGCTGTGCATTTCAGCTTTCAGCAGAATTGTAAAGAGGAACAAGATTGTCCTGTTTTTGTCATGAAAATGGCATTTGTGGAACATCTGTGGGGAAAAAACAGGCAGTGCATTTGCCCAGTGGGGGCTATTTATGGAGTAAAATGCTGCACCGTGTGGTGAGCTCCCAGTAGTCTGGTGACTGTTTTGCTCTAGTGTTTAAAGGGGGTTTTGCACAAAGTTTTAGAGCAAGGAAACATCTGTGGAAGTTTTCACTTAAATTTAATAGGGTATCGCTGGGGGAACAGAGGTGAACAGCGAACGGTGTCAAAGCAACTGTAGTAAAAATTAATTACAGTGTAGTAAATGTGCTTCATAGTACATTAGCTACAGAACATACATAACTGTGACTGCATTGGCTTCATTTGAATACACTTAATTATGCATATTAATAGCGATCGATGATTTATGAACTGAGCTAAGCTCCCGCTGCTCTGTTCTGGCTTAATGCGTTTCCTTTTCTGTTTCCTGTAGGTCCCGTGTTCTTCCTCGCCTGCTTTAGCGTGGCTGCAGGATTGGCCTTGTTCTGGTACTGCTGTCACTCAGGTAACTGCTCCAGTGGCTTCCCCTTGGGTGCCTTCCTTGAGCACGTGTCGAGAGCGCGGCGCGTCTCTTGATCCAACGGGCTCGTTTATTAGAGCGGGTCAAGGTGTCATCATTCATTAATGAGGTCAGGATAGAAACGGTGCTTCAGACACGCCGAGATATAAATTATGGATAGAGTGCCACAAATAGGGGCTCTTTTTGAAGACAGTAGTCATGTGAACTCCTGTTGCTATAGCAATGGGCCATGATTCCCAGCCGTCATGAGGCACGAAGACAAACCCAGACCTTCTGGCTTGCGTATCCCTTGGCAGTTGGTTGAAGCATGACCAGCGCCAGAGCCAGAGGACAGTAGCTTGGTTTGCTGAGCCCCAGCAGCTACAACCATTGCCCCTGTTAGTGGCTCTGGGTGTTGGCTCTCTGCAGCAGCCGACGGAGCAGAGCTCCTGTTTCCCATCCAACGTTCCCAGCACTGCCCTGAGGGCAGCAGATCTCAGCAGAAAGCGCGTCGATGCGTCCGCGCGGATCAGCTTCAGCGAAGCAGTGAATCAGTGCTAGTGGGAGAGAGCCAGGGGGAGAGGGAAGCTGATTCAGAGGTGGGGTTTGCTTTGGAGTCTTTGCACGGTGCTGTGGGAGGTGCCAGTCTTCGCACGGTAGATGGGAAGCAGAATCCCAACTCCAGTTTGGTTTAGTGCCTTCTGCTCCTCATACCCTGGTCACAGCAGTTATGGTTGCACGATGCTCTTTGCTATTTTTTTCCCAGAGCTGTAGGCTACAGTAGCACCAGTTCATGGACTTTTCAGATGAGGTGGGAGCCTGGGCTTACCCTTCATTCCCAGATCAGAGTCCCTCAGCTGGACCACCTGTGGAGTCAGGGTTTAAGGCTAAACAGGAACCATTAGAGCATCAAGGCCAACACCAAACCTGTGTGTTTCCTTAGCTGCTGACACTTCCCTTCATGAGGTTCACTCATCAGCATTTAATAGAAGCATTTTCAGAAGAGCATACAGGGACAGATTCCCAAAAACCAGAGAAGCCATCACTTTCCTTGATCTCGGTTAATTTGCCGTAGCCTTAGAAGTGTGTGTCTTTCTCTCAATGTGAGCTGGTTTCAGCTCCAGCCTGTCGTTTTTATTAAGCCTTTTTCCACCAGATTGCAGAGCCCCTTAGCCACTTCTTTCTGTGCCAGCTCACATTTCATGTTTTCTAGGTCCTTGTGCCTCAAGCTATCTCTCTGTCTATTTTTGCTAAAATTACCAGGTAAAGCTCTCCAAGTCTTGTTCCAAGGCTCTTTTTTTCCAGTTTTTGATGCTCTTTCCTGTATCCATGCAGTGTCTCAATGCCCCATGTGTAACAGGGCCACCAGACTTGGATGTGGTGTTCCAGGCTCCGGAGCCGTGCTCAGGTGTAAAGCTGCCCCCTTACCTAACTCGGTCATCTCCTCTGCGTGTGTCTGAACTTGCAGCAGTGAATCCTAACGGATTCATCATTGTCCTGTCTTGGCAGTTATCTATACAATATTGAAGGAAATGAGCTTTGCTCTAGAGTAATTTTTTTAATTTTTTTTTTTTTTGTAGATGCTGCTTATTACCTAGAATGAAACTTAACTGTGTTCACTTCCTCTTTTTTTCCTATCATCTTCATTTCTGTTTTAGATACGAAAGTCATAGGAAGAGCCAGGAGAATCTTGGGCTTTTCTCCTATTATCATAGGAAGACACGTTAGAAATATTTGTATGCTGTATTTGGAAGACATACCAAGAAATTAAGGAAAAGCTGCCTCTTCGCTTGTCTGTACAGTATATCTGCCAAAGGAAGACAACGGTGCATGAGTATTAATGTACTATACCCTCATACCAAAGATTTTATTAACTAGCTTCATCAATAATTGTGTTGCCTCAAGATGTATTCAGAATTTCAGCTATGTCCTTCCTTATGGGAACGGACCATTTATTTTTGTAAATGCTTATTTTAAAATATTTATCGTTTGGATAAAAAAATATTTTTACTACAGACTTTAAAATTATATCCTAAGTGATCATGGGTCTTAAGCCATGTTTGCATCTGTGTTTTATACTGGAATGAAGGATCGTAACTGTTTGAAGAATGCTAGCCTGTCTTTTGTGATAACTAATTTCAGAAAAGCACTTAAAAACCCACATGCACTCAAAGCCTTACGAAGAAATGGATCTCCATCTCAGGACTGTCTGTTTTGTCTAGATCCTGAGCTCAGGTGGGCACTGGCACCTGTGCAGTTTATCAGTGCCACTTACCTTTATGTATGCCACGTACTTGCCGCGTTCTCCAGTTCTCCCGTTGGTGCCTTGTTCATGTTGACCCTCGGCCGTGGTTTGAATGTGCTGGAGCTGGTGCAGACCAGTGCGCAGCAGGCGGAGGGTCCCAGGGACTGGAATCTCTGATCTGAAGCACTTCCAACCACCAAGAAGGTTTTTCAGATTTATTTAGCTTTTCCTTTTCCAGTGTTTTGCAGTCTGTATATCTAAGAAACTGAAGTAATCCAAGATACTTTGCAGGGACTTAAGTGCCGTGACATGGGGCTTTTTTTATGGCCAGAAATATGTCTACTTACTTGAAGGGCCTGAGGCGGTTCGTAGTACCATTTGATGATGTTAGGTTTTTCTTCTGTGAGTTGAAACCTGAAAAACTTGCAGAAACCATTGTAAGACTAAAGTTCTCGAGGGAAATGCAGGGAGTCAGGGAAGTGCTGCAAGTGAAGCAGTTTGGGTTTCCTAGCTTGCTCCTGCCTAGCTCAGTACCAGTGGCTTTCCTTCTCCAGATGGGAGGTGCGGTACTTCTGAACTGGCTGTGAGAAATGACATTTTCAGTGTTGAGTACTTGCTCAAGGGTGTAAGGAGCTTGGGGAGACCATGTCCCTGTGAGAAAGATGCTTTATGGCTCTTCATTCATTGAATGAAGAGATTTCCTGATCAGATCAAATGTCACCTGAACAAAAGTTGCAGCTACATCACATGTTACCGTGCACTGGAGGATCCAATGCGAAATTTTCAGTCTTTTGGAGTGTTTTTCTCAAAACAGTCAGACTGAAAATTGTCTTCCAGCTTTAAACTTTGTTCATGCTATAAAAACCTCATCATCTGCTCCATCACAACTGTATTTCCTTCCAGGACAACACTCACCCGATACAGTGGTGAGCATGTAGTCCAGAGGAGGAATTGAGGACAGGGCCAAATTTTCAAATAAAAGACCCAAAGAGTGTTTGCAGGAAATGCCTCAAGAGATGAAAAAGGGCTCAGAGGACCCTGATTTTACTCTTCTGATAAAATGGTTGGAGCTGTCCTGGCTGCTTTTGCTGCTCCCGGGATGGCAGAGCCGGCGCTCCCCGAAGAGCTGCCCCGGCGCAACCGCAGCGCCCGACGCCGGCGTTCTCTGCGCGGACAAGCAGAGGTGCCCCGAGGCCCGCTGTGAGCCCAGGGGTGCTGCAGACACTGACCAGCCTGGTCGCTGTGCCGTGACACGTGGGATGAGACGAGCACCACGCCAACACCAGCAACTGGGGCTCCTTCCCTCCTGCCGCCGCCCTGGCGTCCCCTCCATCTAACTGGGGAGAAAACGGGGACGGAGCTGGGCGTGCTCCTGCAGAACTGGCTCACCTCGAGGCGCTACTGCCCTGGTTGCACTGCCATCCGCTTCCTTCCATGCTGGGAAGTGCTTGGATTCCCTGCTGTTTGCTCTTGCCCTGTGCTTAAGGTGACAACAGGTTGGTTTTTTCCTCCAGCTCTAATTTTGTAACGTTTGAGATGAAACGTTGCTTTCCCCACTGCTGCCTACCTCCTGTAGCAGCCCCTTTTTAAGGGACTACGACAAAACCCTCTGAAACCTAAAGGGGTTTTAAATCTTTGCCTTGAAACCAACTTTGAAGCCTCACTAGAGGAACAGTGTTCCATTTTACACAGGAAAAACATTATGCAAAGTAACGGCAACAGCCCCATCTCATTTTAAAGCAGACGGGGAGCCCCTGCTGCTGCTGCTAGGTGGGTTCTTTCTGTTCAGATTATCCTTATTATTAGAATAAGAAGGTTGCAAATTGTTGTGAGCTGTTACTGAAACCTACAGAAGTTACTGGTGCCTTATTTAATCTGAAGGTGAGAACCCGCTGTGCTTGCTGGCTCAGGGACACCTGGCAGGGCCAGGTGCCCTCTGGGGTGGGTAAAGCTGCCCCAGGAACACGCTGGCTCTGCAGCAGGACATGGACCTCCTGGTTCCTTAAGCCAAGTGACTTTCTTTAGCCTCGAAAACTACATGGAGTAGGAAAGTTTGCTGAAGGCCACGGCTGCAGTTTTTCCATTTCTGAGGTTGTTTGAGATGAGGATGCCTCTTGGGGGGGGAAATAATGGCCAGGGTTAGGGCTGGGAGGAGAGAGGGAAAATGAGTCTTGTGTCATCCCAGTGTTGTTAATTAAAGGGCCTGACAGCAAAGAATAGAAAACAATATGTTCCTTTATTAGTGCTAGTTATTAATTGCAAAAGTAAAAGTGAGGCTAGCTGTAAAATAGACATGTGCCTAGGCTGACAGATGTCCTTTTTCTTGGAAGATTTTTCTTTCAGGAGCAAGTACCGAGCTTTAATACACTTCTCTGCAAGCACCGTGCAGGCAGACAGCAGACGAAGTGATAATTCCGTGTTCAGTTCCTGGAGGCAGCCTGTACCTGCCTGCCTGGGAGTCAGGGCCTTCTAGGCCAGCAGTGCTGTTTGCTTGGAAAGAAATGAAGAAGGGTCTCAGATGAGCCTGTCCGGCCGCAGAATTCCAGTTTTCCTGTCAGGTCAAGAATAGCTTGGCATTTGCTGCTGCAACCGTGCTGGGATTTAGGAACGTGCTTTACTTTCTGTGCGGGGAAGTTGTCCTGGCTGTGTGAAATTCAGCAGGTGGTTACAGGCGAAGAGGCTGTTCTTGCGAACGCCGTGGTTCTCGTGCTGCAGACAGCCAACGGACAGGAGCTCATCAAAAGCAGCCATGTTTCCAACATCCCCCCTGTCGCCTTGTGCCGAAGAAGTAGAGTGTTTGCCTTTCCCTGCAGCATGAGCAGCCTTGTGTGGTGGTGGGGTCGGGGCTGTCTGGGCTCGAGGGCAGGAGTTAGCCGGGGGGATCCCCCCGGAGCAGCGCGCAGGCTGGTCCGAGCCGTGGGAACGGTTGAGGCGGAGTGACGGGGCCGCCTGCCTGCAGAGAGGGCTGGGAAGCCAAGTGACAGACCATAGAGTGAATTTGCACAATTCCACTGAAAGACAGACGCTATTTAAAGTCCTTCAGTGAAGTGTGATGTGCCCGCGAGCCAGCGCCGGAACGAAGTGGTGATTCATCCTGGGACATACTGGGCTGCTTCATAGCTGCTGGCTGGAGTTTTCGAAGCTGCCAGTAAGGCAAAGTTACTCTTTTTCTTTCTTTCACTTGTGATTTTCTTTTTCTCATACTGTAATAAATTGAAAACATATTTGGTCAAAATTTGCAGTTGTGTGGATGCTTTTCACCGCTGTCCTGTACGTACAAACGTTATTCCAGAGAGATGCTGTGCTGTAGCTGTGTAATCAGCGTTGCTGTTGCACTAAGAAATGCAAACAGCTTGCTTTACTTCACAGGTCCTGTGTTTTGTAATCGTTTCTCCTAACGTACGTCGTCTTGAATTTCTGTAGAAATTAATGGAATTTGTTGTTTTGTAATGGGGTGAAGCTGGCAATTAAACTGAAATAAAATCTGTACTGAGAAAAAAACGCTGCTGTTTTTCTTGGAGTTAATGCTTTGCACTTCCTTCCAGAAGCATCCCACGGCGCGTTGTCGTCCCGTGGCTGCTGTCTGCCCACTGACTCCCTCCTTGTCTCTGCTCTGTGATGGTTAAACTTTGGGTTTGGGTATTTGTGGCGAGATTTTTTAACATTTTCATCTGCTTTCAAAATTCTTCATAGTTTTTCTACTTGACTTGTTTGGTGACCTGAAATTGAGAGGCCACATCAGCGCAGAGGCTGGGTGTCTTCTGGTTAAGCCTTGACTTTGTGTCATCTTGGTAGTGCAGTGAAGCGTTGCCCACCGAGGCTTGCCTGGAGGTCTCCTCTTCTTGGTGTAAAGTGACTTTGATTCATAGATTCATAGATTTCTAGGTTGGAAAAGACCTTAGAGATCATCCAGTCCAACCATCCCTAATCCCCCATTAAACCATATCCCTAAGTAGATCATCTACCCTTTTCTTAAACACATCCAGGGATGGGGACTCAACCACCTCCCTGGGCAGCCTATTCCAGTTGACACAAGATTCGTTTTAAGATTGGTTACTTTGACCACCCAAAAAGGGGCTTCATGTGAGAAAAATGTGGAAAAAATTTGTTACTGGGCTGTTCTTTTGGGTAAACTTTGAAGGGGGATCTGCTGGCCCCTGTGCTGCTGTGGGCAGTGTTAAGGGTCCTGCGAAAGGGGAGCCACTGACCCGTGGCCTGGGTGCCATCCCCTGCTACGCTTTCTGTGGGGCCACGAGGAACCTCAGAACCTTGGCACCTCCCCGTGGCATGGGAAAGGCTGTTAAACAGGAGCTGGGTTGTCAGTGTCGGCAGGGGATGGTCTCTTGTTGAGATAATTGTTGATGGGTGTCATGGTTTAACCCAGCTGGTAACTGAACACCACGCAGCTGCTCGTTCACCCCCTCCTGCAGCTGGGGGATGGGGGAGAGAATGAAAGGGGAAAAGGGAAGGAGCCTCGTGGGTTGAGATAACAATTTAGAAATACAATTTAATAATAATATAAAAATAAAACTAATAATAATATATGTAATGATAGTATATACAAACGAGTGATGCACAGTGTAATTGCTCACCACCCGGTGACCAACGCCTGTCCCATCCCAGCAACTGATCTCAGAACTCCAATCCTGGAAGAGTGAGAGACACGAAAAGAGAGCGAGAGAGAGGTCAAGAGTCTGAGAAATCCAAGAATCCCAACTTCCCAGCCAACCCTCATCTACATACTGGGCATGACATTGCATGATGTGGAATATTCCATTGACCAATTT